ACACTGCATCTCCTGGTGCATGTTGTTTCTTCTTATCTGCTAATTGTCTTATCTGCTTGAACAAAATGGTGCCGGTGAGGTCGGCTGCCGTGCTGGATGCTCTGCCCCAACTTCTCCACTTTTTGCAGTTTTTCGTCACTTTTTGCTATATCTGCCATAATCTTGCATGGGCATCATGCAAAACACACAAATTTGCTACAGCAGAGACACTTTAGTTTCTATTGGTCTACAATACACAAACATTTCACCATGTTTAACTCCGGACCCAACCTGGCCAAAGGAGATCCTGAGAGAGAACAAAGGACGCGACCCTAAGCGACGGCCTCGAGGTAAAAGAGCCAGCATCAGGAACAGGCTACGGGCTCGCGCACACCGCGCACCCATGCCCAGTATCCTGCTAGCCAATGTTCAATCCATCGAGAACAAGCTTGATGACCTCAGAGCCAGAATCAAGTTCCAGAGAGACATTCGGGACTGCAACCTCCTCTGCTTCACCGAGACTTGGCTGAACCCAGCGATACCAGACCACGCCGTGCAGCCGACGAGGTTCTTGCCGGTTTACCACATGGACAGGACAATGGAGTCGGGGAAGAAAAGAGGTGGTGGAGTGTGTTTGATGGTGAACAACAGATGGTGCGACAGCACAAACATCTCCCCACTCACACGCTCTTGCTCGCCCAATCTGGAGCTTTTGATCGTTAAATGTCGCCCTTTCTATCTCCCTCGGGAATTCACTACGGTCATTGCCTGCACTGTTTACATTCCACCTCACGCGGACTCGGACACTGCCTTATGTGAGCTACATGAGGCTCTCACACATCAACAAACACTCCACCAAGATGCCGCACTCATTGTTATGGGAGATTTTAACAGAGTGAATCTCAAACGGACATTTCTCAACCTTCACCAGCACATCAACTGCCCCACCCAGTGCACTAGGACATTAGACCACTGCTACACCCCGTTCAAGAACTGTTACAAGGCTCAGCCCCTGCCGGCATTTGGAAAATCGGACCATGCCGCCATCTTCCTCATGCCTGCTTTCAAACAAAGGCTAAAGCAGCAACCACCAATCAGGAGGGAGGTCGCTCGCTGGACGGACCAATCAGTGGCGCTGCAGGACACACTGGATGACGCAGACTGGGACATGTTTTGGCGCAGCTCTGATGACATCAACATATTTACGGAAGCGGTTGTGGGATTTATCGGGAAACTAGCAGACGACACAGCAGAAAGAACTATCATCCGAACGTTTCCCAACCAGAAGCCGTGGGTGGATAAAAACATCCGCGACGCTCTGAGATCACGCACCGCTGCCTACAATGAAGGGCTCGTCTCCGGTAATATGGACCTATACAAGGCTGCGTCCTACAACGTACGCAGCGTGGTCAGAAAGGCAAAGCGGAGCTATGGGGAAAAACTAAAGTCACAACTACGACAGTGCGACTCTAGGAGCCTGTGGAAAGGACTGCGGACTATAACGGACTATAAACGACCAGCTTCTTCAATGATGAATGCCGATGCTTCACTGGCTGATGAGCTGAACACGTTTTATGCTCGCTTCGACACTGCAGCAATTAAAACAACAAACGGCTGTGCGCGCTCGGAGTGCACCAGTGAAGAAAATGCACTTGTCATCACAGAGCATGCCGTGAGGAACACCTTCAGGAGGGTGAACACCAGGAAGGCAGCAGGACCAGATGCAATCCCTGGCCGGGTCCTTAGAGCCTGCACTGACCAGCTAGCACCGGTGTTCACGGAGATCTTCAACCTCTCCCTGGCCCAAGCTGTGGTTCCCACGTGCTTCAAACAGTCCATTATTGTTCCTGTTCCAAAGAAACAACAGCCCGCTTGCCACAATGACTACCGTCCAGTAGCACTGACTTCAATTGTGATGAAGTGTTTTGAAAGACTGGTGAGAGATCACATTACTTCTTCACTTCCTGCCACCATCAACTCACTTCAGTTTGCTTACCAGACTAATCGTTCCACAGACGATGCCATATCTCACCTGCTCCACACATCCCTGAGTCACCTGGACACTGGCAGAGGGAATTATGTTAGGATGCTGTTCGTGGATTACAGTTCAGCATTCAACACAATAATTCCCTCTAAGCTTTTCACCAAGTTGACGGATCTAGGACTCAGCTCGTCACTGTGTCAGTGGATCCTCAACTTCCTCACAGACAGACCCCAATCAGTGAGGGTGGGAAAACAAGTCTCCCCCTCCATCTCACTCAGCACTAGAGTGCCTCAGGGCTGTGTTTTAAGCCCCCTGCTGTACTCACTGTACACTTATGACTGTGTAGCCACATCAGACACCACCTCCATTGTCAAGTTTGCTGACGACACTGCTGTTGTGGGCCTGATCTCCGACAACATCGAGACGGCCTACCTGGAGGAGATTAGGAACCTGGAGACCTGGTGCCAGGAGAATAACCTCCTCCTAAACATCAGCAAGACTAAGGAGCTGATCGTGGACTTCACTACAAAGCAGACGAGGAATTACAAACCCCTCATCATCAGTGGCACGCCAGTGGAGAGAGTGGACAGTTTCCGATACCTGGGTGTCCACATCACTCAGGACCTGTCATGGTCCTGCCACATCAACTCCCTGGTTAAGAAAGCCCGTCAGTGTCTCTTCTTCCTCAGAAGACTTAGAAAAAAGAAAAAAAAAGAAGACTTAGAGACTTCCATCTGCCACTGAAGGTGCTCAAGAACTTCTACTCCTGCACCATCGAGAGCGTCCTGACGGCAAACATCTGCACCTGGTTTGGGAACAGCACCAAGCAGGACAGACGAGATCTGCAAAGAGTGGTGCGCTCAGCCGAACGCATCATTCAATCAGAGCTCCCTGACCTGCTGTCCATCTACACCAAGCGGTGCAAGTCCAAAGCTAGGAAGATTATGATGGACCTCTCCCATCCCAACAATGGACTCTTCTCACTGTTGAGGTCTGGGAAGCGCTTCCGCTCCCTTAAGGCCAAAACAGAGAGAATGAGGAGGAGCTTCTTCCCCCAGGCTATTCGGGGCCTGAACCAGGTGTAGGACTGGACTCTCCCACACACGTCACTATAAGACTGGACTCTCACACACATCACCACACGCACCACCACACATTTCCTATAATCCTATAATTCCTATAATTTATAATCTTTATAAACTTTATAATCTCTTCTGAAATTTGCACATTCTTTACTGTAAATTCCTAAGTTCATTTGTAAATTTTTGTAGTAAACTGTAATTGTAAATATTGTAAAACTTTTCTTCTGTCATTTAATGGTCGGGCATTGTACAGCTACAAGCATTTCACCCCCATGTCATACTGTGTATGGTTGTGTGTGTGTGACAAATAAAATTTGAATTTGAATTTGATAATGGAGACCATGAGGTGTGTTTTGTGGTGTGTGTGTGTGTGTGTGTGCTAGAGCTGACCTTGCCATGTTACTTTACGTGGCTGTCAAAACATGATTGTACTACCAATTAAGCATATTAGGTGATGTGCATCTCTGTAATGAGAAGGGGTGTGGTCTAATGACATCAACACCCTATATCAGGTGTGCATAATTATTAGGCAACTTCCTTTCCTTTGGCAAAATGGGTCAAAAGAAGGCCTTGACAGGCTCAGAAAAGTCAAAAATAGTGAGATATCTTGCAGAGGGATGCAGCAGTCTCAAAATTGCAAAGCTTCTGAAGCGTGATCATCGAACAATCAAGCGTTTCATTCAAAATAGTCAACAGGGTCGCAAGAAGCGTGTGGAAAAACCAAGGCGCAAAATAACTGCCCATGAACTGAGAAAAGTCAAGCGTGCAGCTGCCAAGATGCCACTTGCCACCAGTTTGGCCATATTTCAGAGCTGCAACATCACTGGAGTGCCCAAAAGCACAAGGTGTGCAATACTCAGAGACATGGCCAAGGAAAGAAAGGCTGAAAGACGACCACCACTGAACAAGACACACAAGCTGAAACGTCAAGACTGGGCCAAGAAATATCTCAAGACTGGTTTTTCTAAGGTTTTATGGACTGATGAAATGAGAGTGAGTCTTGATGGGCCAGATGGATGGGCCCGTGGCTGGATTGGTAAAGGGCAGAGAGCTCCAGTCCGACTCAGACGCCAGCAAGGTGGAGGTGGAGTACTGGTTCGGGCTGGTATCATCAAAGATGAGCTTGTGGGGCCTTTTCGGGTTGAGGATGGAGTCAAGCTCAACTCCCAGTCCTACTGCCAGTTTCTGGAAGACACCTTCTTCAAGCAGTGGTACAGGAAGACGTCTGCATCCTTCAAGAAAAACAGGCTGTGGTTGCTGCTGCACGCAATGTTGATGGTGAACAGATCAAAACACTGACAGAATCCATGGATGGCAGGCTTTTGAGTGTCCTTGCAAAGAAAGGTGGCTATATTGGTCGCTGATTTGTTTTTGTTTTGTTTTTGAATGTCAGAAATGTATATTTGTGAATGTGGAGATGTTATATTGGTTTCACTGGTAAAAATAAATAATTGAAATGGGTATATATTTGTTTTTTGTTAAGTTGCCTAATAATTATGCACAGTAATAGTCACCTGCACACACAGATATCCCCCTAAAATAGCTAAAACTAAAAACAAACTAAAAACTACTTCCAAAAACATTCAGCTTTGATATTAATGAGTTTTTTTGGGTTCATTGAGAACATGGTTCATTGAGAACATGGTTGTTGTTCAATAATAAAATTATTCCTCAAAAATACAACTTGCCTAATAATTCTGCACTCCCTGTAGAACCTGGTACCCTGGTACTCTCTTTTTCAAGAGAATTTGTACAGTTTAATATCTGAAAAAGGCTGCACATGGAAGCAGGCAGAGTGGTTGAGACATAATGCTCAGACATTTATCCAAAAGAGTCCAGTGTTTTTTTCCAATTAGTTTTATAACAACCTGTGATGTTTGGAGAGTCAGCACATGTGATTTTTGTGGAGTGAATTTACATTAATTTACACTAATTTGATGTTGTTTTCTTGAAAGCAAAATGATGGCCAGTTCACAGTGATACAGCTGGTGGGAATGTTGCGCGGCATTGCAGCAGGAATGAAATACTTGTGTGACATGAACTATGTCCATCGAGACCTGGCAGCGAGGAACATCTTGGTCAACAGCAACCTAGTGTGCAAAGTGTCTGACTTTGGCCTGTCACGTTTCCTTGAAGAGGATACTTCAGACCCCACTTACACCAGTGCTCTGGTGAGTCCTTATCAGTGACTATGGAGACCTTCATTCAGTACATTTCATTTATAATACTTCAAATTGTATTATAAATTCTGTCATAAATGAACTTCTTCTTCTTCTTAGGGGGGAAAGATTCCCATCAGGTGGACAGCACCAGAGGCCATTCAGTACAGGAAGTTCACCTCCTCAAGTGACTGCTGGAGCTATGGCATAGTCATGTGGGAGGTGATGTCATATGGAGAGAGGCCCTACTGGGACATGAGTAATCAAGATGTGAGTAAAGCCCTTTAAAATTACTGGTATTTGTGTTTAAGATAAACAATGATAAACTGCCAGGTAGTGGTAGTTGTTCCCTTGGGCTTAGCAGTTTCAGTTAAGTAGTTTCAATTTACTGCCAAAAGAATGTGATAACGGCCCATTATTGCTTCTGTAGTCAGTCAGAGAAAATTTTTTGTGACTGAAATTGTACCCTGAAATCAGCACGTCGCAGAGAAATGAGAAATGTGAACGAACTAAATAAACCTTGATGCACACTACTTACTCCTGAAAAACAACCCCATCGCTCCGCCACCAAATTTTAAGCTTTGACACAATACAGTTAGATAAGTACTGTTCTCATGGCAATTGCTCAAACCAGAGGCATCCATCAGATTGCCAGATGGAGACACGTGATTTGTCACTCCAGAAAACACATCTCCACTACTCTAGAGTCTGGTGGTGGCGTGCTGTAGGCCTCTGGATCCGATGCTGTTTTCAAACCCATGAAGCTCTCTATGCACTGTTGTTGAGCTAATCTGAAGGCCACGTGAAGTTTGGAGGTCTGTAATGATTTACTCTGTCCATAAAGGTGGTGACCTCCGTGGCAACCTCATACTACACAGTGTTAAACATGTCCATGTCCCAACTTATTTGAGATTCCAAATGGCTCTTTTTCTTAAAATAGTACATTTTCTCAGTTTAAACATTTGCTATGAGAATAATATATCAGTTTATCAGATTTGCAAGTCATTTCTTTTTTCTTTTTAAATCCTGTCCTGTTTGTCAGCTTTTTGCAATCAGAATTATGATCTGAATGCATTCAGTTTTTATTTACATTTTGCACCTTATTCCAAGACTTTTGTTTTAACCATGAGTTTTCATGCAAATTGTTTTAGGTAATCAATGCCATAGAGCAGGACTACAGGTTGCCACCCCCTATGGATTGTCCTAGTGCACTACATCAGCTAATGCTTGACTGCTGGCAGAAAGATCGCAACAACCGACCCAAATTCAGCCAGATTGTCAGCACACTGGATAAGATGATCCGCAATCCCAACAGCCTGAAGGCCATGACACCATTGTCATCAAGGTATGACAGGAAGAACAATTATTTCACGCTGAGAGTTGCTGACACCCAATCATCTTTTTAACTTCTAGTTCTTTTGTCTTTTTCTATCCACCATTTAGTGTTCATTTAGCTCTGCTTGATCGCAGCACTCCAGATTTCTCCTCTTTCAGCACCATCGATGAGTGGCTGGATGCCATAAAAATGGGCCAGTACAAGGAGAATTTCACCAGTGAAGGCTTCACCAGCTTTGATGTGGTGTCTCAAATGACCATGGAGTATGTTAGATACTTTTCTTATATCAAAAACAGAGGTCTCACGTGCACACACTAGCTGATGAGTTAGAATGCGGCAACAATGGGGAAGTGTAAGGATTTGAGTGAGGGAAACCTTGGACCTTGCCATCTATGTGGATATTACTACCTACTACCTACCTAAGCATTGTTGCAGACCATGTACACAAACTGTACACCCTACTTTGATCTTAAGTGATCTTAAATGGGCCAGACCAGTGAAACTACATTATAAATGTTGTTACTCGTTAAGTTACTGTGGACTCATTAATAGTTGAAAAATAGTATCTCACCTGTCATTTCAGTGTTTAACTGTTAGTAATTGCTTTAATGTAATCTGAAAGAAACAGAAACGTATTCACGGAAACAGTATTCCCTAATGGCTATGGCCTCTTTCAGCGGGAAAATATGCCCTGCCGCAAAGGAAAAATGGTTCAGAAAAGTTGGGACTTAAAGAATCTGTTGCTAATCTCTTTGTGCCAGATACAACAGCGTGCATTCAGGGACCTACTGATGTCTCCATGCCTTGATGGTGTTTGTAGTCAAACTTGGCACTGCTCATGTTGGTACTGGTCTAAGAATCCTTGTGTACTGCTCTGCCAACCAGGAGCTGTCGCTTTGGCTCTGTGGTGTTATTTCCAATACCTTTCTCAGGTGTCCTTACATATTGACTCATGTGTCTACTCAGCTTGGTTGAGATGAGCTTCCATGTTGTGGAGAAGCAGGTATTCAGGCAGTTGTTCTATGATGTCATACCATTATGGGGATCGCGAAGGATCCCCATAATGGTATGACATGACGGTTTGGAGAGTAAGGCTGAAGAAGCTCGTTGATATAAGTGGAGGCCTCTCTTTATAAGGACATAAAAGTAAGAGTGAGGATTCTAAACTGATATATAATAATAATAATTAAAGATATGGTAATAAAATTATGAGGCTTTGCCAACAAAAATTAAAATAAGCACTTAATATTTGCCACCATGTTAAATGGCCTGTATTTTGTATAGCGTTTTACTAGTCCCTAAGGACCCCAAAGCGCTTTACACATCCAGTCATCCACCCATTCACACACAGGTGATGGCAAGCTACATTGTAGCCACAGCCACCCTGGGGCGCACTGACAGAGGCGAGGCTGCCAGACACTGGCGCCACCGCCAAGGACTGCCCAAGGACACAACGACCGAGACTGTCCAAGCCAGGGCTCGAACCGGCAACCTTCCGATTACAAGGCGAACTCCCTCTTGAGCCACAATCGCCCCTCATGGACCATGGGCCTTAAACTTCCAAAGAAATCAAACATGAGCATGTCTATTAGGCTGTCCAAACTTTCAGGGGTAAGACTTGGATCTCACAGGTCAGCAACATGAGCAGGACTGAACTTATCTTTTTATTTTATTTGTATCCCTCAATTGTAAAAGCATTGCTCTGCTGCCTGCCTGCCTGCCCCACATACCCAAGTTTGTGAATACAATAACTCAAAAATGAGGTGATGTAATACCTTAGGTGTATCAGATGAGTCTGAATCTTAATGATATTGACCTCAAGGTTAAGTCAGGGTTCAACTTTCCTGAAAATCACCTAGGATTTTCTCATTTATACAACAGGTATTTCTACTATGAAGCTGAAGGGTAGCACGGGCAGCTGCCTGTATTTTTATTTATTTATTTATTTACTTTGAACATTTACACGTTTGTGTGCTTTAAATTTGTCACCCATTGTCAGAATGCTCTGCTGTTCAACTATAATGTCCTGAGGTGTCTATGGTAGGAGATTACCTGAACTACCTGTGTGTGCCATTGTGCAACAGCACATAAGAGCTTTCAAAGCCCAGAGTTTTTTTGGCCACACCAGCAGCCTCCCTTACTGTAGGGAGGCTGCTGCCATACTAGTTATCATACTACTTATCATACTAGTTACCATACTAGTTATCCATGTTCCCGAAATGAAAAATTAAGTTGAAGAGGTTTTTTTACATGCTAGAGGAGACCAAATGTGTGTCACAGAGACACAAGCGCAAGTGGACTTGCACTGAGAAATGTGAAAGTAACTGTTGCTTAAAGTGTTGCAGATTTAAAGGAAGACTGGTAAATTTCATGATCGATTATGGACTAAGTGCCTGAACTTTTTTAACCAACTTTGTACAATTTTATAATATACACAAAAGTTGTCATTTAGATTTGGTTGTCAGTATCCACAAGCCAGAATGCCTTCTGAAATGTCAACTGTTACTCCTGTGGTATAGCTGGGTGTAATGATGGCGTATGATTTATCTTCAGGGATATCCTCCGAGTGGGAGTGACATTGGCTGGTCACCAGAAGAAGATCCTGAACAGCATCCAGTCAATGAGGGCCCAGATGAACCAGATCACCTCTGTGGAAGTGTGATCTCATAGACCAGAAGCACAAAGACTGTTCACTACAGGAAGTCCAGCTGCCAGTAACCATGCATTGAGGAACACATACACTGTGACTTCAGTTGAACCTCAGATTCACTTTTCCTCCTTCCAAACACTCTCCAAAGGCTTCCATCAGTATGCAGCACAGCACAGATGTTGAGTAGTTTTCTTGAAGCTGCTGTATATTCAGGTAACAGTCTTTTTGGGGGGCTGTTGGACATAATCACAGGCATCTAACTGTCAAATTACTACAGTACAGTCACGTGTCTTGTTAATGTTCCATCACTCTTCCACTCTCTCCACTACCAGCAACTTAAGTTATTCTTAAGAATTAATGTCCTAAAATTGGCCTTGCATTTTGAATTTTATGCAAGGAACCTGCTGTCACAGTGAACGATGATATTAAAAACAGCATAGCAGGACTCAATGAACTGGCTGGTGCAAATTACAACTTATACGTTAAGTTGAGCATATTTATTTATAGCTGCCACCTTCACCTTACTGCTACCTCTGTACCACAGTAATTGTGGCATTTTTCGTAACTATGTAAAGTTTCTTAACTATGTAAAGCTGCAAATCAGAACTTTTTGTCAGATCAAACCCAGTTTTTGGTACAGGTAACTGAACATTTACATAGATTGTATGGTGTGAATTTGAATAAGGAAGCATTGGCTAACTATGACCCTTATATTATTCAGCTACAATGTAGATGAACACACTTCTACTACCAGCAACAACAGGTGCCAAATACATATATATCTCTCTCTCTCTCTCTCTCTACACACACACACACACACACACACACACACACACACACACACACACACACACACACATATACATACATATATATACACACACACACACACACACACACATATACATACATATATATATGTGTGTGTGTGTGTGTGTGTGTGTGTGTGTGTGTAGAGAGAGAGAGAGAGATATCATTTATCTCACTGTCCCATTTACTGCGGAAACTGTGATACGAAACTTGCAGATATGATTCTCGGTTCTGTACATGTGTTTTGGGGTTAAAGGTTTACAAGTTTTCATGTTTTATAGAAAATTGTTCAAGAGAAATACCTTTTACACCCAGTTGTTGTCTTGTACATATCAGTATATATTTTTCTTTTAAGAAAAAAAGACTGCTCTTTCATTTGGCACTTTTAAATCATAGCTGTTAAACAAATTGCTTTTCAATGTTTCTTATTCTCACATACCACTGAGAGCTATAGGCACTGGCTTGCCAACAGAAGCAAATTGGGATTTAGTGTCTTGCCAGAAGATAGTTCTAAATGATGTCGCAACTGAACTACTAACACTGTATTTAGTGACTCAACATTACTTGAGTTATAGCTTCCCAGCAAGTGCTACCAATAACCAATTATTATTCTATCATCAAAGTGATTTAAAATAACATTCAAATGTCCTGCAGATTTTGAAATCTAGAAATTTTAAAATGTCAATTCAAATGTCTCTATGTTTTGCAACCTAACAAAGGCCGTATGTAGAGGAGTGCTTTTCAAGTCATTTTCAGAATATGAAAAATAATACAAATCTTGTTAATTATGTGTTCAACAGGCTTGGCTGATAAAAACCGATGATACATATCCCTTTATTAAGCATAGCATGTATTACATTTGACACCAAAGTTTAGCCTTTAACATTAAACTCTGTGTATGATGTCTTGAGCTTGACCGCCTACAGTGTAACTTTCTTGGATATATATAAAATGCACAAATTATTGCTTTCATAATTAGGAGACTCACATCCACTTATTGTGAGAAAACAAATGATTATTCTTGCCCAAAAGTAAATTCACATAATTAGTATGTCATTCAGATGTTTTCTCATTAAGAAACTGAGTAGTACTTGATAATGCAGCCCATAACTTATGGTATAATTTCATATATTTCAGATCAGAATGTAGGGTGTTTTTCAGTTGTCTAAAAATATATCTCTGTAAGGACAGTGCAACCAACTAGGGCCAAGACCAAATTGCTCTCTCCCCAGCCACCTCCTCTGGGGGAAAACCAAGGCATTTACAGCCCAGCTGAGAGACCTAATGTCTGTAGTGTGTCTTGGGTTTATCTCAGTGCCTCCTCCCAGTAGAACATACCCAAAAGACTTGCTCAGGAGGTATCCTAGTCAGATGCCCAAACCACTTAAGCTAGTACCTTTTGGTGTCTAAACTGCTCCAGTGTGAACTATAGGCCACCACATGATAAAGCCAACAGAACCACATCAACTGCAAAAAAGCACAGACAATATCCTGAAGCCACCACAATGGAAGCCTGTGCATAAAAATTTGAAATAGACTTACTGCCAGCATTGTAACCAAGTCCTCACTGTGGTTTGAACAGTGACCAAATAGGGACTTTCTATAATAGTCGTTTTTTGTTTGTTTGTTTCTTGTTGTCTTTCTTTTTTTTTTTGTTAAACAATGTCTTCTCCAAGTCGACAAGATACATATAGACTGGTTCGACTGGCACCAGGGGCTTTGGCCTGTGAACAAGACATCACCCTCCCCAGGCCTCACTCCAGGGCATGGTTATAGCCCAATGGTTATTTCATTTTTTTTCTTTTGTTTAAAAAAAAAAACAGTTAACATTTGAATGGCATTTCAGAACCGAACTTATGATCCTGATTTTTTTTTTTTTGGACACATGGATGGATGGACTTCGATGTGCTTCCATAAAGTTGAGTTTCAAATTAAAAGCAGTCAGCTAAGATTCATTTTTGGATTTGAGAGCAGTATTCAGTTGTTTAAGGAGAAACTCCATTCTCTTGCATTCCTCTTCACATGCATTGCACTTCTAAACTGATCCACGCTGCTAGGCATGGGCATGTGAAGTTTTAATGATGCATCATAGATGAATACTATCAGAGTGTCTTGGAGAACTTAGAATAGTTTATCTGTGGATTAAATCTGTCAACAGATGGGTGATCTAAGAGGCCACAATAAATGAATATGAGGCTTACTTTGAAAAGCCGTAATTTCCAATTTCGTAAATCATTACTGAAAAAGTCTACAACCACTGACTGACATGATTTAAAATATGATTAGGTTTTGAGTGGTAAATCAGACTACCCATGGTTTGGGAAAATATAATGGTATAGTTGTGCAATGTTTAGGATTCTGTTTAGGATTCTGGCACCATAAGTGCATTTCTGTCTTTGCTTCTGAGAGGAAAATCGTTCAGATTGGCCATTAAAGCTATAAGCACCAAGCCTCAGAACTAAATAGCTATGCTGTGGCTCTTATGGAAGTCTTTGCAAGAAATTAGGTATCATGTCCCGTTTAGATATTGGTGTTTATACACTCTGGGTTTCTGTAGGACATAGAGGTCCTGTGCTCCACATTATTACCATAAAAGATGTGTTCCATCTATGATCTCTGTTTTGTCTTTTCTGTCCTTGTACATATTCCCTTCATGATTTGAAATGAAGCTGAAGCGTACCATCATCCGAACTCAGAAATCAGTGTGGGTTGGGGTTTGAAAGCTAACATAGCTCAGAAGCCTCACAGGACCAATACAGCATTAGAAATATTTTGGGGGTTTTTTTATGTGAATTTTTAAAAAATGTGAGGTTGTTGTTTTTTTTTAAATAAATGTTATGCAATCGTTGTACGTACAGAAAAGAAAAGTGAATTTTCCGTTTGAGTCATGTGACATTTGAGTGATTTTTTTAAAAAAATGGGGACATTTGGCATGTTAAACCCTTCCTTCTAATGTACTGCCATAAATCACATGTTCATCCACTCACTATGGTGTTATCTACATGAGTCCCTTTGAACTTGGTCCTGTTTGTACATGTTCAGAATGTTGTCAGTTATTGTAAGGCTATAACATGTTTTGATGGTAGCATTCAAAAGCACAATTCCAAGACATTTATTCCCCGCTTATGTTTTGAAATTCAGTTCTATTGTAAAAAATCAGGAAGGAATACATATGCTTCTTTAAGGGTTAGTTATTCTTTGTAATCTGCTCACTGGAACACATAAAAATAAAGAAACAAACTCTTAACAACCTGCTTTAACAATGAAGGTTTGGATTTCTAGTGTTGGATCAGGACAGGCCAGACTCCTTTTTTTCTTTTTTAATATGTTGTAGTTTAAAGAAATGCACTGACTTGAATTAATTATAAAACATGTCCTGATGCATGTTCTTTCTGAACAGAAGGTACAACTAAGACTTCTGTATTGCAGAAGCTCATTAGACATTGCATGTACTATTCTGGGCTCTGTGTTAGTCTTCCTGGAGATAGTGTTTTTTGGTAAATTTTTATGACTATGATCCAAAAGAGGTGCTTCCACTTATCTCAGCTTTAAGTGTTGCTTATTGTTTGTATTCTCGTTTAATGTAAAAATCTATTGTTCTCTCTGATTTATAACAGATTCATATTGATACCATTTTTTATTCTAACATCATATAATATAATTGTAAAAACAGCCTTACATATTTTACAAACACATAAACACATTGTACTGTAATGTACACATGCATTCTCCGCACATATTTAACACACTGGACCCAGGCAGCAGATTGACATTAGATGATAAGTACTTCTGTTCAAACTGACCAGAATTATTATTTGATGGTGTTTGGTAAGAAATCAGATTCTGTAAATTAATAAGCCATCCACCCATTTTCTCTGCTTATCTGGATCCAAGCCACAGTCTAAGAAGAGATGACCCAATCTTAATCTCCCCATCCACCACCACATGTTCCTGTGGTGGGACATCATGGAGTTCCGAATGTATGCATTATACTCAGAAACCCAAACCACCTCAACTGACTCCTTCCTACGGGAGAAACAGCAGGTCTTCACTGTGAAGCTCCCAAATAACTCACATCTAAGGCTTGTATCTGTGATCTTATTCTTTTGATCATAACCATGGCCATAACAACAGGAATTTGAATATGAACCTGACATACTTGCTCCTCCACTTGAGACAGAAACTCATCCCTCATTTCCCCAGTGGCATTCTACCCTTTTCTGGCTGATAACCATAGCCTTTGTCATCTCTCATCCCTCCTGCTTCACAGTCAGCTGCAAACTGCTCCAGTGCTGACTGCAGGTCAATACTCAATGAAGTCAACAGGACCACACCATCAACACCATGCAGGTACATGAGCCCAAGACAGACAAATGTGAATCCGTTTATTACAGAAATTTTCTTCATTAAAGTCATGAACAAAATTGGCAGTATATCCAATGTTACATAATCAGAGCAAAAACCACAATATTCATCCTGAATTTTTCCACTACCTCTAAGGTAGCCTGAGGAGGGCAGTACCCCAAAGCTCGACCACACCCTTCAGTCTCCCTTCTTGAATATGACCCTTGTCACCAAGAGGCTCTGTCCTAGTATTGCAGAGAGATATCCAGTTGAACAGCCCCACAACATCCAGAGCTTTAAGGAACTTGGGGTAAATCTTATCCTTTCCAGAGTTTTGACTTACCTCAGTGACCTTATCCACAGAGATTGGCGAGCTAACCCCCAAGTCTTCTGCTCTGCTTCCTGAACAGAAAACATGTTCAAATTCCTTTAAATATTTTTTCCACTCTCCAACTATGTCCTTAGTTAAGGTCAACAACACCTAATTCCTACAGTACAAAGTGAAGGTAGAAAATTGCGTTTACCTCGCTAAATATCTGACAGTTTTCATGGCATCACCCCGGAATATGCAGACTGGAATATGGAACATTCGTTTTTGCAAAGATGACTGTCTAAAGCTGCATTCTGCTTGGCCTATCAGTACCCA